AATACAAAAATAAATTTTGTTATTTTCTCATAAGTTCCTTTTACGTCGATAGCCTTGACAGCAAACGCAACTGCTTTATCCACAAGTCCAATTTCACTGGGATGAACTTTCCTGCTGATGGACCAGTGATGCAAAAGAGGACAACTAATTGGGAGCCGTCCGTCGAAAAAATGACTGTGAGCGAGGGGATATTGAAGGGAGATGTTACCATGTTCCTCTCGCTGAAAGATGGGGAAAAGCACCGTTGCCAGTTCCATACGTTATACAAGTATGTTTTTTAAGTTTCTTTCTCAAAGTAACAATATAAGAGAACAGTTTAAGATACCACGACGTCGGCGGTGGAGCAAACGTCACTCAGAAAGTGACTTCACGTTCATTGTTTTATCAAGACATGCTTTTCCTTTGTTTAGCTTTTTGATACTTTGGTTAACTACATATAGTTACGTTCTCAACGTTCCAGGCCCTCAGATTTTGCGGACGGTGCAAAAGCGGGCAGGAAAAACAGCGCATTCACCGATTATCTAAACGCTTAGAACTGCAGGTTACAAGAGTAACTGGCTTATATTTTTTTCAAACCGAACTTTCAACGATCATTCCAGAGTATTCACCCTGGGCTATGAGTACTTCACGTGGGTGCCATTCTTTAGGTTTAAAAAGGACTTGTGTTACAACACTATATATGTATTTTTTCTGCACAGAGCAAAGAAGGCTGTCGAATTGCCATCGCAAAGTCACTATGTGGAACATCGCCTGGTGAGGACTGACCTTACTGCTGGAGAAGTTCAACTGGATGAGCATGCTGTTGCACGTTTAAACACCGTGTGAGCAAGAATCGTTTTCCTTTTGTACTGACCCTGATATCATTGTAATGCAGATCAGATCAGCAGAAAATAAAGCACAAGTGAAATGATTTACTGCGAAGTGTTCTCTTTACTAATCCATAACTGGTCGCTAGTAACAAAGATGAACGCGAAGGTTTTTTTTTTTCTCGTGTCCTTGTTTCCATCCCCTCGCCCTTCTCATTTCCCCCTTCTTTTCGTTCAGTATTTTATTTTCATGCTTATCCGGAACAGCACTGACCAAACTCACGCTTTGACCCTTTACTCAACTTATAGCTGCAATTTTCGGGATCTATGTTTTCTAAACTCCAGTTAGAACGGCGCTTTGTGGAGAATCCTGTAGCCTGCGTTTCGAAAACTTAACTCTACTTTTGCATCTATTGCTTTTTTATTCTTAGCCGTCAAAAAGAGACAACATTATTACCCAAAAACATTTATAAAGGCACTGAAGACCACAGCAACAGACTAGTGTGGTGGGACAGCCGGATCAGTGTGTATGCCTCCGAATACCAAGCAAGTAGAAAAACAGTAAAATAAT